TGATACAATCTACAGTTAACTGAACAGTTTACACATTTCAAACGTACCCAACTTCTTACAACACTACTTGCAAAGTAAATTGTAATCTTGCTGAATTTGTAATTGCAAAATATTGCATTACTTTATATGTAATACCAGATGTGTGGCATCAGGTTAAACTTGAAATTACAGCAGACTTGCATAATGACTATTTTACATGATCTCCCTTTGATTTGAGCTTTTTGGCTTGGAAATCAGCACATATTTAAATTTTTTTTAAATCATTATTACACTGTAACAAATACAGAGCAACGAAATTCACTTAACTTATCTCCTTGGGGAGCAGTGGGCTGCCATTGTGCAGCGCCAGGGGAGCAGTCTGAGCTTAAGGGTCTTGCTCAGGGACCCAGAATGGCAGTGGGATTGGAGCTTGAACTCAGAACCTCTGGATTCCAAGCGCAAACCTCAAGACCACCAACCCTAAACCTCAAGACCTCCACCAAATATTTGATATCTTACTTTTAAAAGGTATATGCGAAAACAAAAGGCACCAATCTAAGTCTTTAATTGAATAAAGTTAACTATATTATTTTTCATGTCAAATTGCAGTCAAAAAACCGAATCCCCAATCTAGCTCAAAACACAATTAAGGGTGGAGACACTATAACGTGAGATTTTTTATACTGTGTGGACGACAAGATTTCTTAAACGGAGTGAGACATTTAATCCAATTTTAGGGATGGTCACGCATTACCTAACTAGACAAAGCATACCAGAGGCGTTAACAGTAATATAGAAGATGATTAACTATTTTAAATAGGCAGCTTTATTCAGATCATGTCCTATATTAACTGACTAAAATGGCTTCTAGGGAATTTTAAAGCATTCATCCTCCCATACAATGCAGTGAATGGTTAAGCTCCAGCATAACTTTCTAACTTCCTAATAAATCTTATTTTCCACAATGTTGATTTTGAAAAAAAAAAATAAAAAATAAAAAATCAGAACTTTTTCATTATTTCCCATTTTGGGTAGGGAACTGATCAGTTATGGGACAATGTTGACTCAATTTCAGGCTTGCAAGAGTTGGTTTAGGACTCAACACCAGACTTTCATGTTTGTCTATGGATAAGCATTAGATCTCTTGATTAAAGTACGCAGGTCTTGACTTTGGACTCAACCTAGAACTCAACGCCCAGCTGGGATTGGGGTTGACTCTTGAACATTTTGACATTGCCGTTGCTCTTCGGGCTTGATCATATTTGTTGACCCTAGACAGGCTTGTCTTAATTTGGGATCTAACTTGAAAACTGCACATATTGCTTTTGAAATAGACCTCTTCACTGCCCCTTCTTGACACGTAACTCAATTTGAGACTTTCACACCTTGAGGTTGGACTTGACTTGGGACTTGAAGGTCTTATTATGGGCATGACTTTAAGCCCCTAATGTTTTCACTCATCTCTGGATTTGTATTCGTACAGAATGCATGGACTCGACTTTGCACATGACTTGATACCAAGGGGGGCTGCTCAGTGGTGCAGTGAGTAGCACTGCTGCCTTGTAGCGAGAAGGTTCTGGTTCAATTCTGGAAATTTCTTTATGGAGTTTGCATGTTTGCATGTTCATCCACCACAGTCCAAAAACAAAACTGTTAAATGCTAAATTCTCCTTAGGTGTGAGTGTGTGCATGAATGGTTGTTTGTCATGTTCGTCTCTGTGTTTCCCTGCAATAAACTGGCGACCTGTTCAGGGTGTACCCCGCCTGTCGCCCGTAGACAGCTGGAGATAGGCACCAGCACCCGTTGTGACCCCAGCTGAGATAAAGCGTGACAGAAATGGATTAATAGCAATTGTGTGAATCTACCCTTAAGGGTAGATTCACACCCGCCACATTTGGCTAAATTTTAACAGACCAGAGTTTGATTCCCTCCTTGATTAGACCGTTTGTGCAGGTGTAAGTTAAGACCACAGCAGCAGCAAACTTAGTATCTAAATCATACCTGTTCCACTATCTGTTGCTAGGCAACACTGCCTCCAGCAAGCGACGGGTCTACATTGAATGAGGTTTTCTACACACAATGATTTTGCAACTTAAATAACAGCAGAAATATGCTATGAAGTAGACCAATCAGACCAATGATCCTTACATGCATGGCTTTGCTGTAAGCTGAAGTCCAATTGCAAAAATTACTATTTGAATACGAGCTGGACGAAATAAAGTCAGCGTTTGGTCCGGATTAAACAAACAAGCTTAGGGACTTTTCTAAAGTTTGACTCTACTTGGGGAATTTAAAGCATTCCTGACGATTTGACTCAAGCAGTATATATTTTTACTTTTTACTCAACTTTGTTCTGTCATGTCTCAGCTTGACTGAAGATTCGAAAGGGAAAACTTGAGTCTTACTTGAGACCAGGTCTCTCCTCTGGTATTCACTTTTATTACACTACTGCAGCTTTAAGACCCAGATGTTTGTCAGTCTGTCTCACACAGAAACACTAAAAAACACAAGACATGTTTTATTTAGAGATCATTTAAATTAGAAAGTTTATTTACCTTTTTGGAGAGGTACCCCTCTTTGTCCACAGGTGAGCTGCAAGATTCAAAGTAGCTGACAACTTTTTCGTCAATCTTCATTTCAACATCGCAGGGTGATCAAGATATAAACCTGCCACACACAGACACAGAGTAATGATTGACATACACTTGTTTAAACAACTTCCGTGTTTTTTTCCTGAGGAAACTAATTAATGAAATGTTGCTTTTTACAAACTATAACAATTATGGGATATATCAAACATTTTCTTTGCAGGTTTCACAGCAGAAATCATTCGATTTCTTATGTTTTTTAATAATAATAATAATGATAAAAAGAAGTTAATTTTTCACAACAATAAATGAGTAGATTTACTTGTGCTCGTGCCTCCGCCATGAATACCTGTCCAGCTGTTTCATTTAAAGCGACAGAGTCAATAAAAAACCTAATCAGTGACGCAGGGTCGGTTTCTGTTAGGAAGAGACGGTTTGAAGAAATTAGGAAGCGAGAAAGCGGCTCCCATCCACACGTCTGTCGATTACTCACCTTACAGAGGAGCGTTTCGCAGTTTCCTCCCCGGGGTGTGAGAGAGGGTGAGACAGCAGCTTCCTGGTTTGGAAGGTGAGGCCAGCCCCACGTCCACATATCAGCTTTCAATTTACTAATATTTTGTTCAAATATTTAGAAAACTTCACTGCTTTAAAATCGCGCAGGCCTGTATTTATAACACAGCATTAATGCAAAGTAAAATTCCTCTATCTTTAGAGATAAAACCGTGTTTGGATCAGTTTAACAGTGTTGCGTAATTGTGCGGTTTGTCTTTGCAGAGAAATGCGCTCGTTTCATTTTTGTTTCAAAACAGCATCAAGTTCAACTATTTCAAAATAA